TGGCAGAGGAGGGTGGATGTCTTTTCAGGCATAAAGCTACCAGCAAGGACCCAGAAATCACTCAGGGGAGTTGCTGCTTTCCCCAGAAGATCTAGCTTTTTGAAATAAACTTAGAAAAGGATTCTATTCGCCCGTCTGCCTGACCCAGTGCTGAGGTCTCCCGTCCCTCTAACTCCTGGGAGAGGAGGAGGATCGTGGAGCTCTCTCCCTCGCGCTGGTTTCTAGCTCAGCAGTCAGTGCATCCTTTCCTCAAGTTTAGCACCAAGTATGTAGTCTGATAAAGAAGGGTTAAAAAAATTTTTTTAATCTTGCTTTTCTTTTTTTTTAACATTTTTTATTGATTTATAATTTTTTAAGAAAAAAAAGAACTAAAGAGTTTATTGTCTCTTGGTCTCCAAAAACCAGGCCTTGCAATTGACAGTTATTGCCTAGACTTAAGAATGGATTTAGGAAAGAAGGGTTTTCATTCATTGACATTCATTCAACAGAAAGTGAGGATATTTCTGGGTCACTGGGGTGCAGCCCCCAGAAATGAACAGAGGAAGCCTCTGATGTCTCCACCAGTGGGGGGAGATATCTAAAGAGCTGCACTTAAAGATGGGCTGACCCAGGGCTCCAGAGCCAGCAACATCCGGGAACTCCTGCCCAGGAAGGCAGCCTGGCGGGGGCTGGGGGGAGCTCAGAGCATGTGGCAGAGGCCTCAGCTCCCCCCACCATCCCAGTTCCCCGGGCCTCACTGAACCTTGGTGAGTGTGAGCCAGCAAGCTCTGCCCAAGGATAACCACAGAAGTAGACAACATGTCCACCAAAGACATCATGCAGCAGCCCCAGACAGTTAAGGTGGGATCGTTTTGTCCCGGAAGGCAAAAGTAGGCCCCACGGTGGGGGTTCCCAGGGGACAAATTCCAGTTCAGGAGAAGGAAGAACATTATGGTTGGACGTGCTGCAGGCTCTGTGGAGGGCCTGATGCTTGTGCCAAGCCTTGAGGGTAGCTAGATTTGGGGTAGACAGGGAGGCCCCCAAAATGTTACATGGTTCAGGAAAGTACCCTTTATCTGCAAAGCAGAGACTCCTACTTAGCTGGCTCCCAGAATTGCCACGGGGAATTAATTATTGTTTGTGAAACTCTTGAAGATTCCCCGAGGAAAGACCTTATATAAATGCAAATTATTATTATTGTTATTAAAAGTGCTAGACGTCTGGCCTGCTGGATGATGCCCTGGCATAGCTCTGAGCAGAAACAAAAAGCCAACTCCAGGCTGAAAGTTTGCTCTGGGTGTTCGAGAGCAAAAGCAGGAAGAAGGAGCCGGGGGAGGAGGGCTTGGCGCCTGCCGGTAAAAGAGAAGCCACCCAGCTCCCACCAGGCATAGCACGCAGCAGTGCTGTGTGTCCCCTGGGGCCAGGCCTTGTTCAGATGCATGCATTGACTCCTCAGGGAGCAGCCCTGGACTAGCGCAGAGCTCTCCATGAGTGAGTGAATGTTCGGTTCTCTGCTGATCTGAAGGATGGATGCTGGCCTCTACGTTCGTGGGGTCCTAAGTCGGATCTGGAGACAAAAGGGAGATGTGTAGCAACCTCAGACCGGCAGTGCCTCTGATGATGCCAATTAAGGCTCTTGAGGGAACCCCTTTAGCAAAGTGCTGGGAGAGGTCATTTATTAAATTACTGCTTCCACTTAGGAAACTGTCTGGCCAAAGTGGTTGGATTGATACCAAAGCAGTAATAATAACCATGGATAATAGTACAGTCAGCCCTCCATGTCTGTGAGTTCCACATCCAGAAATTATTCCAAAAATATTCGAAGAAAAATAGTTCCAGAAAGTTCCAAAAAGCGAAGTTTGAATTTGCCAAACACCAGCAAATGTTGTCTGAGAGAAGGAGGATCCCCAAATCAATTAGAAATCACCTCTCTGTCACACTCGCATTGTCTGGATGAGGAAGCAGAGGAGTGACTCAGTGTCATGCAGCAGAGCCAGAGGTGAGGGCCAGTCTCCACACTCGGTCGCCTGCACTTTTTCCACTGGACATCATGGCGGTATGGAAAGAATGTGCACTTTGGAGTCAAGCAGCTCTGGTATCATAAATAGCTGTGTGATCTTAGAAAAGCCACTTTGCACCTCTGAAATCTCATAAATTTCTCATTGGCAAAAATAAAGATAGCGGTGTCCCCCACTTTTTGAAAGTTCGCTTTATGCCACTTTGCTTTTACAAAAGACCTACCTTAGTGCCTGTTTTCACTAACCGAAAGAAATCCAAAGAGGATTTTCACTTTTATTTTTTTAAAAAAGGCAAAAAGCAAAAATATGGTTCAGCATTTGTTTTGCAGCGAGCCCTCATAAGGGCAGTGCACATCCCGCGCAACCAGAGTGGCACCACCAGGCCCCTTCCCCGGGAACCACACTCAGCATCTCAGCATCCATCACCACAGCTTTGAACTGTGTGGGTGAACGTCTTTGCTTTGTCTTGATTTATTTTGTGCATCCGTTAGCAAGATACGGCCTAGGGTAACTGCATCTTTGCCTTATTCTGTTTCAGCTTCCAAAAGGTCTCACAGGGATGCTTTACTTTCAGGTGGTGGGGATCCTGTAATGATACCTGCCTGGTGGCAGGCCCCTCAGGAGGAGTGAACGTAAGAGTAGAGATGAAAGCAAATAGCAGACGGCTAGCATGTAGCAGGCACCTCCCTTCCTGTATACTCCTGGCTTCCAGACTTTTTTTTAAACCACAATCCTCAGAAAGACATTCATTTTACATCCACAAAAGTTTCGCGAAAAAAATATTTCTCCTTGCCGCATGTGATGTACTCTGATTGTATTTCATTTTATTTTAATGCTGATTGGGCCCCACTAGGTGGATTTCACAACCCGCTAATGGATTACACCTATCATTTGAACAAGCCTGTTTCATACCACGGGTGGATACCATTTATCCTCATCGTATGTATGTCCCTCCTTTCCCTCCAGGCCTTCCTTCCCTCCCTCCCTCTCTGTCTGTAACTGGCACATGGGGTCACAGAGCTACCTGTTGCCAGCGTGTGCAGGGCCCCAGGCTTGTGCAGAGTGAAGCGGGCCCCGCAGCCCAGCAGGGCAGGGGAGCAGTCCTTCTGCTCCTCTCCATCCTCCCTGGGGTGTTTGAGGCCCTCCACCTGCCAGAAGTTCTGCCTCCTGCCAGGCTGCTATGGAACTCGCCCCCACGCCCAGCCCAGCAGAGCCCACCTTCAGGCCTTTACAGCCATGGCCCCTTCAGCACAGCAGGCAGGGTGGGCCTCGGGCATCCTCACCCATTCCGTAGTTTCTTCTTTTGGGATTGCTGCTTTGCCATCTGTAAGCCCAGAGAGCAGGCATCTGTGAGTATCATTTCAGCTGCCGGGCAGGGGGATTTGACTTGAAAAGCAGAGGGACCGTGACCATCCTTGCTGCCCCTCCCCCAGACCTTCGAGGGGAATCTGTGAGCATCCAGCTAGGAGGGCAAACACCCAGAGAGCTGGTGTAACCAGACGGTGTGCTCAAAAGGCAACAGGCAGGGGCCTAAGCAGCTGTGGGAGACATCGGTGCTGGGAGTCTCGTGGGAGAAACCAGATTCACAACCAGGCAGGCAACAGTTAAAAGCCCCAGAGAGACTCTCTGCGGAGGAGAAGATTGGTTTATGCTGCAAAGAGTTGAGCTCCTAATTGTTCTGTCAGTCCTTTGGGGGTCTGGTGCTTTCCTGGGGAGGCCGATGTCTGGCGATGTGGAATGGAAGGCTGGAAGCACGATCTCCCCTGGGGTGTGACCTGGACTCCGCGTGGTCAACTCGGCTAGGACCCCGAGCACTTCCTCTTTGAGGATCATCCTTTGGTTTTTCCCCTTTTGCTGACTAAGCAGGGGAGGGTAATCTGTGATCTTGGCAGTGACTCACCGCCATCAGACAGGCGGCCGGCTTCTCCCCAGCAGTCCAGCGCAGGTGAGCTGCACGTGTAGCCCTCTTCCCGACTGAGCCTGCAGAGAGATCCCTGCACCCTCCACGGGCATCCTCACGGCTGCAGGCAAAGCCAGTGCTGAGCTCCTGCCCTAGCAGCCCTGGGCAGAGCTAGCAGAGAACTTGAGATGCCCATTGCCAAGGCACCTGCCGTCTAGACATGCCAGCAGGCGCAGAGCGGGAGACGAGGAAGACGTGGGGTGATAGCTCTGCTCCAGGGTCCCAGGTTTCAGGCAGCACCACATTCCTCAGCCCCCAACACATCTGTCTTCCCCATAGCCCAGCCAAGTGCACCGCATCATCTCAGCTGACCTTCCCAAGGTCGGGGTGGGGGCAGCCTTGCCTTTCTCAGTGGCCATACTGCCACCTCATCCTCCCAGCCTCTTATCAGGCAGGTTATGATGGAAAGAGCATCAGGGCAAGGAGAGTGAGGACTTGTCAGATTCTGCCTTCTAGCTCTGGGGCCTCAGGGCTGCCCCTTGGGTCAGCCATTCATTCATCCACTCATTCATTCATTCATTCATGCACCAAAGAGACATTCACCTGCTGTGAGGCCCTAAGGGAGGTGAGCACCATACGGCACTAAGGATAAACCATCTCCAGTCCTGCCCTCAAGGGCCTTACAGAGAAGGCCTGTGCCATATGAGAGGGACCATCAATTTCTGCGGCCCTTAGTTTTCCCTTCCCTGTAATGATGGGACAGTATGACCTATGAGGTTTCTTGCTATTATAAAATGTTATCATTCTAAAGTACATCTTTAAATAAGCCAGGTGTTTATATTCGTTTGAGAAATATGTTTTGAGCTGCTGTGTGCTGGGCACTAGACTCAGACCTGGGATCCAAAGATGGATAAGTATGACAGGTCTTGTGATCTAGTGGGGTGTGGGAGAGTTGCTGGACTGTGACAGATGCATGAAACAGGCAGGAGCCCAGGGCAGGAAGGCAGCTCTGTGGCCGCGAGAGGCTCAGGCCCATGCAGGCTGCCCCGTCCCTCCCCTTCATTTGACCAGCTGGCCCTCTCCCGGCCTCCTCCCCTTCTCAGACACCGCACCAAGGGATGCCAGGGGAGCAGAGGCCTGCAGCCCACCCCTACCCCCACCCCCACGCTCTTGGCCCTGCAGTTGCAGAAGCTGGCTGCAAGCTGCTCTAGCCCCAGAGGAACTGGCCAGGCTCCAGAAGGCCTCATTGGAGAGTCTCAGAAGGAGAGAGAACCGCTAGGTAATTTTTTTCGTTCTAGTACGCATTGGAAAGTACCCTGTGATTTAGAAGGAGCCAGATTTCATCCCAATACTTTGATGTCTCGAAATGGATCCCAGTCAGTTGTTTGTTGAAGTCTTCCTAAAACAGCATTTTATTTAATTCGACACATACTGAGACTGCAGTCCCGGCCTTCTCACGGGCAAGGAGCCCGAGCTACATAAGACAGAGTCTAGACACCAATCTAAACATCTCCAACTCCAGGCAGACCGCGACCAGGCCTGAGGCTGGAGGCCCGATGCGCCCCGGAACCGGCAGAGGGGAGACCGGTTCCAGCTGAGGGCGAGGACGTCTGCCTGAGGCTGTGAGCATGGGATACCATGTTCTCAGGATGATATCAAGCCTTTGCATCTCAAGTGTTAGTTTCCTTGTTTTATGAGCTTGGAACCCCTAAAAACGAAGCAGGCCTACTGGAGGGTTGGCCCATTTAGGGAGACTGTGTGTGCGAACTGGTTACAACCACTTGTTTGTTCCTAAAGCCCACAGCAGTGAGCCAGGCTGGCATTGCCCAGGGCACAGCGACAAAACAGGCTCCCATCATGCCAGGCACTTGCTCACCAGGGCCCCCGGAGGCGGATGGGCAGTCTTCACGGGGGCCTTGGGTGGGTGTGGGGTGAAGGGCCCTGAAGCAGAATCTCTCTTTGTAGAGGATTCTATTACAAGGATGACCCCTTAGACACGAGGAGAGTAACCCCAAATGAGTCAGTGTGTACAGTGGCCGTTCAGGACAATGAGGACAAGGCAAGACCACAAGGATGATTAGTGGGACTTGTCTTACACTATTTACAGGACTGCTTTGATTTTCAGACCATAGTTGGTTTGCATATGACTGATTAAAAACATGTGCCAGTTGAAGTCACAGCTGCAGAAGATGACTGGAAAAAGAAACGAGCCTTAGATGTTTGGGAACTTGCCTCTATGTGCCAAAATGAATTCTGACTTGATTTGTATGTCCCTGATTTCCTGACAATGAGGGTCATGTCCCTGAACCACTTCTGCCACCCTGCCTCACCCTCCTCACCACACTAGCCCGACTCAAGCAAATATCAGAAGGCTTATCTGATGCTTGCCCAAAGAAAAGCATTTTGGAATTCCAGAGAGGGCTACAGAGTCCTGTAATGGAAGAGGACAATTGTTTAGGCTCTTGAAGAATAAAAGGTCCCAAGTAAATGAGGCTAAGGCAGCAAGACCACAGGGTCCCCAACGTGAGGTCCTGCTCTAGCAGGAGGATGTGCTCCAGAGGCACGGGGGACAGGGTGACCCTGGGCAGGTGTCTCAACTAAACTCGCCAAGCTTCTGTCTTCTCACCTGCAAAACAGGACCGTGACTCCTGCCACCTCGATGGGGTTGTGAACACCCCCTGCGCAATGTTTCTTCTGCTCTATGTGTTTCCTTCCTTTTCCGGTCTCCAAGCTCTTTGGGCTTTTTATTCTCTGTTTTTGTTTTCATTTTCTTAAAGCTGTACTGATTCAGAGGTTGGGATGCTGATTTCATGGATTTTTGTCCTTTTGAGAAGGTCTGTTGGATGAATAAAGACCTATAATTCCAGGAGGAGAAAACCCTTTTGATGAGACTTGTTGAACAAAGGCTCCTCACTGCCTTCATCTCGAGGCCTCTGAGGGTTTCCCTGACGGTGCCCTGCCACAGCTCTCTTTAGTGCTCCCGGAGTCCCTTCCCCAGAACACATTGATGATTGAACTTTCCAGGCATTATGTCCCCTGACAACGTAGTATGAGCTCCCTGACTCTGGACCTCCTCTCGGTGGGAGGACAGGGCCCTGGGTGGGAGGAACAGGCCTTCCTTCTCTCTCACGAACTGCTCGAGGTGCCTCTGAACACCTGCTCAGAGCTCTGCCATGTTTGTGAGAAAGCATCCAGGTGACGCCAACCACCGCCTCACCGCACTGCCGCCTACGGCGTGTTGGGGTCTGGGTTTGGCCGGTGCCTTCATTTAACAGATGAAGAGTCAGGACACAGAGAGGTTAAGTGGCTTGCACAAGGTCACAGGGGTATCTCAGAACCATAACTGGGTGGCACTAGAGATCAGCAGGAATACATCTTCCTGTTACAGGGGAGGAAGCCGAGGGCCCCCCCCCCGGACAAGCCAAGCCGGGGCCTGGGCTAGAACCCGTGTCTCCCGCCTCACTGCCTAGTGCTCTTTTTATTTGCCCCACGGCCTCCCCTTTATGATACATGTTGCCCTGGACAGAAAAATGTCTGTTGGAGGACTGGGCCAACTTGGGTGCCCCCATCCAGGGTAGCCGGAGCCACGTGATTCTTAAGCATGCCTCTAGTCCACAGCTGCGACCTCCCCACAACCAAGCCCACACAGGACCCCACCCAGCAGCTGGGGCAGGAGCCAACCGGGGGTGCAGGTGCCTCCCACCGCAGGGCTCACCCTTAGATAGCACGAGTATGCCTCCAGCAGCTCTGAGCTGCATTTCAAGAGGTGCACAGTGTCCTGACGACTTGGCCTGGGTGTCTGGTCCTGAGACTGACCATCTCTGTGCCTCCAATGGCCAGCTCGATAGGATAAGTGAGCAGTGATCCAGGAAGGCCCAGGGGAAGGGATGAACTGAGAGCAAGGACCTTAGGGCCTCTCTCCCTACACAGGGGTTTTCTCTGCTACAGCCGCTCATGCCCTGGCTGTTCCCATGGCCTCTCCCCCTGAGACCCCGCTGGGTCCCCATGGTAACAGATCACATCTATTGATCATCTGGTTTGCCAGGCACACAGCCATGTGCTTAGTTGGACCATCTCATTTCATCCTCATGAGGACCACCCTTTGGTGGAGGCATTATGGTTCCCCTTTTATAGCTGAAGAAATCCAAGCTGAAGAGGTGAGTCCCTTGCCTCGATGATACAGCCCATGAGGAGCGGGCCAGGCCTTGAGCCCAGGTGTGGCTGACTCCGAGCCCCGTGCTCCACAGCCTCCAGCCTGCAGGGCCTCGGAGGTCATCTGGCACAGCTCTTGCTTTGTAGACAAGGGATCTGTGCCCAGAGAGGGGAAGAGATTTACCCCTGGACCCAAGGCCCGCAGTGCCCTCCAGCACCCTGATTCCTGATCCGAGGGGTCTGTCTCATCCACCCACGGCCGTGCCTGTGCGCTGAGGCCAGGAGCCGGTCCTGCTGAGAATTCACAGAAAACCTACCCAGCCTTGGCCTGGGGTCAGTTCTTTAAGTTTTATTCTCCTAACCTGAGACTCTGGGATTGGACTGAGTGGTGATTATATAAAACCCTGAGCAGAGGGACGGAGAGCAGTGAAGAGGGTCAGAACCTAATGTTGTCCTAAGGCATATTTAGCTCTAATTTGGTCTAAAAATAATTCCCCTTCCAGTGTGAGTAGAATGAGAAGCTTGACTGACTCAAGGCCTCTCTCCCCATGGGCCCTTTGGCCAGTTATCGGGGACATGAGAAGACTGCCTCCTTCTCCCCCACATACCCCCGTAACACACTTACAATTTTAAAGCTTACCATACACTTTGTCTTTGGGTCAAAGAGTGTTTTTTAAAGGTGACAGACAACTAATGCCATTGGCACGGGAGATACTCTGGGCAGCTCTCCATTTCTCTGAAAACTGAAATAAATGAAAACAGCACTTAAAAAAAAAATCTATAAATGGATGGGAGCCAGTTGTCATTTTCCCCTGCTTCCTCCCTTCTCTGAACTGACTTCGTGAGGATCCGCGTTGAGAAGCGCTCACTGACAACAGCTGGGAGCATCGTGCCTTTAAATAGCCCTTCTCTGCGCTGCTTCCCCTTGGCGTCATGCACTTGGCCCTGGCGGGGGAAGCCCAGGACAGAGCAGGAAACTTCAGAACTTTCTGAAGCGGGAAAGAGCTTGCTCTAAAGCTTGCTCCCTCCTGCTAAGACCTTTCGGTCTAAGGAGCTTGTACTGATGCAGCCTCTCCCCCAAGAAGTTTCCAAGCTAAAACTGAGCTGATGAGATTTGCCTCATGAGATGTGCCCAGCGTGACTCTGGGTCTGAGGAGAGAGGTGGGGGGAGCTCTCCCTGCCCCGATGCCAGGGCCGTTTCCAGCAGCAGCAGCAGCCCTGCTCAGTCATCGGGCGCATGTTGGGGAGCCAACAGCCTCTCCCCTTAGTGTCCTCACCTGTGACTTGGGACAGGGGTGCCACCCCACCCAGTGGTGCTGGGGTGGGTCACGCTCCACAGTGCGCTTCAGGCAGGAAAGCAAATGCAGCAGAGGTTGGCAGCAGCCTGTCAATATCTGACCCTCTGAAGAGGGGCCACCAGGCTCCCCTCTAGCAAACGCCTGTATTGCTGGGGACACAGCAGCAGGTGAAACGTAGGGAAAGGATGAACGGTTTTCACATCTGGGTGGCAGCAGCCATTGACAAAGGTCCTTCCCACACGTCTGGCGCGAGTGTCACATCAGGGTGGGCTTGCCGCCCCTACTCGCTGCGGGGAGACAAAGCTCAGGCTTCTCCAGCCCCGCCAGCCTCCCTCTAGGTCCTGGGCTCCTTCTGCCTTATCCCAAGCGCCCCCCTTCCCATAAGGACGATTGTGGCAAGGACTTTGAGGTCCCAAGGCTCAGAGGAGGTGGCAAGACCATGTGATCAGGATGAGGGTGGAGGAGGGTGCTTTACCCTTCTCAGTAACAGTTGGCCCAGGTTGAAGTTTGAGGACAGATGAATGTTTTACACTTTCCTTCTTTAGAGCCTAAACACTGCATTTGCCAGCTTTCTGGGGTTGCACTCTCACCATCTTGAACAGCGTGTAAGCGACATGCTTTAACTGCTCTTGCAAAGCGGCAACCGTCAGTAGTTACCTTAATTACAGCCACAAAGTCCTCGCTGAGTGCTCTATGTGGGCAGGCCTGTGGGGTCACCAAGAAGAGGACATGCTCCCTGCTTTCCAGGGCTGGCAGTGCAGCCCCACCTTTTAACAATGTACACACATGCCCTGTGCCCTGTGCCCTGGAAGCAGCACAGAGCACATCTGCATGCAGGGAGGGAACCTTCTGGTGACCAGGGAAGACTTGATGGGGGCAAGGGCATCTGGCCTGAGCATGACGCGAGCCCAGAGATGGAAATGGCATGTGTGGGGAAGAGCAGGTAGCCTGACCAGAGGGAGTGGGTGTGGAGCTGGCTCCTTGGACCCTGTGTGGGCTGCGGCAGGGGAAGGGGGTGGCTTACAACATCCCCTGAGAACATGTGACATCACAGTGAGGAGACTTACCTGCAGTTTTTCTGGGAGAGGAGTCTTAGCTTCTTAAAGGAGGGGGTGCACGATCCCAAAAATGGTAACTGAGGGAAAAAGTAAAGAGTACAAGCCATGGCATGCCAGGCTTCGGGTGCAGGCAGATGAAGGGTCTTGGTTCGGGGAGTGACGGAGACCCATGTTCAAAGAGAATGGACCTTGCTGACACAGAAGGGTGAAGTCAGCCTTGGGTCCTGGGGAGAAACAGCGGTTTTGTTGGAAGATAACAAGACGGGGAGCCAGGGGTGTCAGGACATTGGGGAGGAAGAGGAAGAAGCTTCAGGGTGAATTCACCACAGGAGTTTAGGGAGAAGTGGAAACTCAGGGGTCTGTTACAGGAGTACCATCAGGCCAGAGCACTTTCAAATATGTCAGATTTATGACAACTCGCATTTGAAACACACTGGTTTGAATTTGAGAGAGACATCCAGGTCATGAGGTCCTGCAGCTGGTTGGAAATGGGGGACTGAAAGTTTGGGAGAGAAATAAGGGCTGGAGACCCAGACTGGAGGGGTCTCTGCTGGGGGGAGGGCACGAGCCTGAGAGGAACCATGCTGTGCACGAGGGGAGCTGAGAAGGACGGAAGAGACCAAAGAGAGGTTTCTTTCAGGAGTGGGGAAGGAGGCAGGAGGGGAGAAGGGAGGAGGCCTAGGAGGTGTCATGTGGCAGGGAAGAGAGCTTCCAGACAGAGGAGCCAACAGTTACATGCTGCGGAGAGGCTGCGGACAGAGCTAGGACTGAGACAGCCGGAGCAAAGCGGTGAAATTTGAAAGACTTTCCGGTGACTTGGCGTTGGGGCGGGGAGGCCATCAGTGTCATCCGTGACTGCACTGGGCGGTGATCTAGTGATGAGGCCGGAGCCTGCGGAGCTGTGTGGGGCTCTTCGCCCTACTCTGAACGGTCCCGTTTGAGATGACGGCTCCGCTGTCTTCTCCCCGGTGGGTTTCGCATTGTTGCCTCTCCCTGCTTCAGCAAGTCTGCCTTTGGCCTTTATGTCAGCTCCTCGACTGCGAATTTGGTCCTCTGATCTTCTGGGAGCCTGGAGCATCAGGCTTCTTAGAACCATATCCTAGATAGAATGGACTTGGGTAAGGCAGGCGAGGCCTTTGTGGGACTGTTGGTGATAGGTCTTGGTGGCCCTTCCCAGCTCATGTCACAGGGCTGGGTGAACCACTTCTGGATAAGTCAGCTGTGACTGCTCTGACCTCATGGAAGTCGGGGCTGAGGGAGGAAGGACTGGGAGGCAAACTTGGGTGACCAGGGCGTGGGGTGCCCACCCCACCCTCTCCAGCCCCTACCCTCTCCAGCTTCCTCTCCCTCCCCTCCCTACCTCACCCTTTCTCTCCTGTCAGAGCCTTTTGTTCCCAGCTCATAAGCCGCCCATGCCCCCAGGCCTCCACTCCTGCCGTGTCTTTCGCCAGGAACACCTGTAAAATGCCAGGTCCACCTTCACCGATTGCCCCAGACTGATGCCTCCTGTCACCTCAGTAAATGCCCTCTCCACAGCAGCTGGCATTTCTGATGGGTCTGCTGCTCCTCTGAACTGAGACCTCATCTGGGTCATCTCACAGACCTGGCACCTCAGACAGTGCCTGGCACAGAGTCGGCCCCACACAGGCCCCTCTCCTGCTGTTGAATGGCAGGCCCGCGTCTACAGATTTGAATCTGGGTGCTGGAAAGGCCAAATGGTCTGCCCCAGATCCTATCACTACTCTGTGACTGATGGGGGAAGGTTCTCCTGTTACCCAGCCTGGCTTTCTTCTCAGTAGACCAAATTTCATATATGTTTGCAAATAACTGGAGACCATGGATTACTTAGAAATCCCTTTTATGAGACCCTCTTTGTATGAAGTCAGAGACCTAGGCGAGTGAGAAGTACAATCCTGTTGATAGTTCAGATCATGAAAATGACTGGCGGTTGGCCTGGTCACTCTCTGGCCTGTCGCTCGGACCCCTGGCTTTGACCTGGGGAAGAGCCGCGGGAACCTGGGTACTGATGTCTGATAGGAATTGGCAGCCAGGAAGGTCTGCGTACCGGCCCTTTAAATATCCCTGAAAGATAGCACAGGCGTGAACTGCATAGACCTCCCCTGGAAAACTCTAGAGGGCTTTACATCAGCAGGGAAGGAAAATCCAACCCAAGATGCATGAACAATAAATAACAACTGTTCCGAGTTAGGTTGAAAGCTCTGAGTTGCACTTTTTTTCAAGTTGTTTGTGCTAACCACAATTTTTTTCTCCCCCTTTCCTACCAGGGCTTATTTCAAAACCTTTGTCCCTCAGTTTCAGGAGGCTGCGTTTGCCAATGGAAAGCTCTAGGAAACACCAGTCTTGAGAGGTGGCCAGCCAGACTCCTCTGTCCACATGTGTGTCAGCACATATGGCTGCTTCCTGGAAGCCATTGGAATGTCTTCATGGCAGCGTTTCGCTCACACAGCAGCTTTGCACCCCGTCTGGAACCCAAACTTGAGCTGGCTGGCGGTCACCTGGATCCCAGAGCGCCCCCCACCTCTGGTGGCTCCCTCTTCGTCCCCGTCAGTATATTTCTTAGTTGGAAGAAATAAAGTCACAAATCATTATGCAATATTTTTCCAGGGAAAGTAAGACACATAAATGCGCACACCCTTATTCCAAAGCCTTTGTCTCTGAGACCTCTTTCAAGTTTTAAGATTAAACACCCCTTTGCTTCCCCCCCCCGAAACTCATGCCGTGTGTGTGTGTGTGTGTGTGTGTGTGTGTGTGTGTGTGTGTGTGTGTGTGTGTGTGTGTGTGTGTGTGTGTGTTTTACACCCCAACATTTCCTGTTTTGGACAGTCCTCCATTGGAAAAGGTGCTGCCTGGATGAACCTGACCAGCTGTCAAGGTTTCAGCCACCCACCCAGCTGGGCCTAAGGCTGGCACTCAGAAACAACTGGTTCCAGCACCAACCCCCTCCTCCATCGCCCCACTCCAGGCCCCTGTGTGTGCACTGTGTACAAAGCCCATCCTGACCCAGGAGGCAGGCAGTAAAGCTTGCTGAATACGTCAGTGAATCCATCCCTCTCTCTGTCACTCCTCCCGAAGCTGATGGGGGAGTCGTTTGGGCTTCTGCAGCACTGTGCCAAACATACCTGAAAGACACGGGTTGGGCCTCGTGGGTGAGCACTGGGCTCAGGGTCTGCCAGCTCTGCAGCCATCCAGGAACAGAGCTGGGGAAGGTACCCTGAGTAAGCTCCATCTTTCCTAAATTCAGAGATTATCAGAGCTGGACGGGGTCTCAGAAGGTGTCTTGTTTCTAACCCCAACCCCTCTCCCCTGCTACTCCCTGCAGTGTCAGAGGTAAGAACTAACGCTCAGGAGCTAAAGAAGCTCTCCCAGGAAATCAGGGCAAACCTGGGAATTGGGAACCACCATGTGACTTCCCTGGACTTACACACAGGCTGACCACGGCTAGCTTGCCCGCTCAATGAGGCGTACGGTTCAGTTTAGCGGGGAGGTAGGCCCTCTGCCCAGAGGCAAGAATCAGGCAGCTGGCCTGTGTTGCCTGGGCTCTTAAACACACCTGCCTTCAATCGAAGGTGAGGTGCCCGGCCCCACCCGCCACAGGGCCTGCACGGGTGGACCCCGGCCTCTCACCCTCCCTCAGTTCCTCCTGTGGCTCTTAGAGCCGCGTTTTGCCATGTGAGCCTGAAAGGGAAGCAGCTCGAGGCCCTCATGGGGGCCAGTGAGGGACGCCTGTCCTTCCTGTATTGGCCAGCGCCCGGGAATGTTCTCAGGAGGCAGGAGAACAGCTCGAACAGACCTCCCCGCTTGGCTTCCAGCTGGCGGGCTGCCCAAGTCTGGGATCTCTCACAGTGTGAGTACTTTGCCCTGAAACCTTGGGAATTCCCATGACAAAGAACAGTCCAGTGTCCTGTGTCTGCACCCTAGCTCTACCACTAGCCAGCTGTGTGACCCTGAGTAAGTCCCTTCTCTGTGTAGTCAGAACCACCCGGGGGGCTTTTTAAAAAACCACTACTTGGGCCCCACTGCAGGCCTGCTGAATCACAGCTCACCAGCTGGGCCTTGGGCATCTGGATTTTAATACAACTCCCCAGATGATTCTTTTGAGCAAACCACGCTGGGGTCTCTTCTGACCCTGGCCAGCTACCTGCCTTCTCGGCCTCGGGCAGCTATGTGCCAGGTTCCACCCTCTTGCTCCGTGACACACTCACGTAAGATTGCCTGGCCACCCCCTACCCTTGGAGTGGCATAGATGGGGCTTGCTGCCCACAGAGCTGAGAGTTGACTGAGTCAGGGTTTGCTTCAGACCCAGGAGGGGTCTCCAGCTCTGGTTCTAGCGTAGGGTGGTTGGCAGTTGCAGGACAGGGTGTGGTCACATGGCCTGGACCCTGGGCATTTCAAATCACCAGTCAGTCATAACAGCAGCCGGTGCTGGGGCAGTGTGATCTAGGAGCGGCCCTCCTGCCCCTGCCAACGTCTCGGGATCCACGTGGATCAGGCTCGTTGAAGATATGCCCGCACGTCTGTGAAGCAGGCCCAATCTCACCAGAAGTGCTGGCCGCTTTCCCCCGACACTTCCCTACAGCAAACCTGTGAAGTCAACAAGTGAGGAGGGTGGCCCCTGTTCCACAGATGAGAAGACAAAATCAGAGCGGTTAATTGAGTAACCCATGATCAACAGCCAGTCAGTGCCAGTCAGTGCCAGTCAGGACTCAGCCTGGGCTCCTGGCTCCAGATCCAGTGCCACTTCTCACGTTTCTCCATGACTCCAGTAAACAGATTTTTTTCTTCCCCAGTGAAGGATGATGTACTACATACAGGGTTGTGAGCATGGAGATTATATGATTTTTAAAAAGACTTTCAGCCCCCTTAGCACAGGAGGAAGGTTTGGGCTGATTTTCTTAGGGGAGCCAAACAACAGAAAGTGGCAATAGCCACTTCATATATCAAATGCCGGGGACTCAGAACCAGTGTTTGCAAGATTTTATCTCTACCCCCAACAGTAACAGAAGTGGTGCTTGTAAATGGGCGACAGTCGCCTGTGTCTGTTTTAAACGCTTCTTGCTAGTTCAGCCCATCACTGAGCACTGTACCTGCACACAGAGTGCAGCCCAGGACTAATTAGTAAATGGCTATAAAATGCTTTGAAGATGAAAAGTGCCGAATACAAGAGCATGTTATTATTACCTCGTAAATCCTGTCTCCAGCTTACTCAGCCCTTGTAATTTTCAGTTGAATCTTTAGCTCAGCACAGACAAGGAGAAGGACCCAGATGTTATTAGAGTTTTCTAATAATAGCTGGAACATGGCATCTCCTGGGGGCCGGGGAAGAGGCACATGAGACCTGGGCAGCGGATGTTCAGCCTTCTCCCAGGCACTCGGCTTCCTGAGCACCTGGCGCCAACAGGGAGACGTGCTGCGTTACAGAGCCCATTTTCTCCTGAGGATGAGCTGGAAAGAGTGTGAGCTTGAGGAGGAGAGACACTTATATCTGAATCCTGCTTCTGCCCATTTAGTGGCTGGTAAATATTTAACAAGCAGTCCTTCAGCAGTTTAAAAAAGAAGAGAAAAAACAGGAGGGGCCCTGGTTTGTATTGTTTGCCAGTTTCCATGTGTCAATACTCCCACTGTGACCGATTCCGAACTCCCCAGGGGGAGGTCCCTGGACACAGCTTGGGAAGAGCAGGGAGGATCGAGGGGTGGGGGCCTCCACTGGGTGAGAGGGCTCCAGTGTTCATCCTTAGTTAACCTCACCAAGTTTTGTTTTCCTCATCTGTAAAATGGGAATAAATACCATCTGCTTCACCGGGTTGTGAGCGTTAAATAAGAAAAGCACATAAAGCACAAAGTACGATGCTTGGCACACAGAAACGTTTGATAAATTGTGACTGTTATTAACGCAGACCAGAAAAAGGCTTTTCTGATGTTGACTTTGGCCTTCCTCTAAAAAGTCAGAACGCCCCTGTTAAAAAGTCCTGCCAATAGAATATGGCCTTTGGAAGAGTAACCCTGCCCATATTACTAGGTGGACGAAACGAGGTCATCCTGATTTTAACGAATGGAGAGGATTAGACGTGTCCGTGAGAGTTCCCTCCACCTCTGCCTCCATACCAGGTCTGGCTTTGACTCCGGGCAGGTGCTCCGGCTCTCACGGTGACCTGCTTCTTTGCCCAGCCCCCATCTCCCTACAGGCAGGAAAATCAGAGCAACACAAACCACTTTTGATTCTGACTTAGTTTCGGTTCCTGACAGCTACAGACCCTTGTTTTGGAGTCACAACCAAGCCAGAGAAATGACCACATTCGGTTTGCCTCTTGCTTGGACCTATAAATAGAATGAACCCAGAACCTGCTCCAGTTCATGGGGACCGGCCTGTCCCACAGTTAAGAACAGCGTCTAATGGTCAGATGACCTCAAATTCACTGGTGCGTTCAAAAATGAAAATAAGAAGAGAAACATGACCTTTTTGTTTATGCATCTATAGGGCCCACACGTAGCACCAGGAGAGTGAAAGTCAGGACCAGACAAGTAATAGATAAGGTGCTGAGCAGGGTGATGGCCAGCACTCCACTACCGCCCTTACTGAGCTGTGAATGACATTGCAGACTAGCTACTTTTCTAATCCTCACAACTAAGTCAGTGTTACTACCCTCATCTTACAGATAAAGATAGAAAGTAAACCCCGAAGAGGCAAAATATTGTACCTACAGACAGGAAACAGGTCTGTTTCCTTACTCTTCCATTCACTGTACTTTCCCATCCTTCCTCCATCTCCCTCTTTCCATACCCTTACTTTTTACACAGAGGAAGTGAACTCAGGTCTCTGTTTCCTCCTACGTCCTCTTTCCATCTTCCCCAAATGAAGAGGTGTTTATTGAGCATCTACAGTATACAAAGCCCCGAATAAGACATTCATGGACTTATTTTTGCCATTTTCCCCAGGAGGAGAGGTGCTTGGCATGATTGGGACTGGCCAAGATCAGATGGGAGCAGGAGTGGCACCCAGGGCTGCTGGTGCCAAGGCTGGACTTCCCACAGGGGGTTCTGTGTGTCTGTGCACCCAGCTAAGACATGGAGAAGCAGTCTTCGTCTATGCAGATAGGACTAGCTATGTGGCTACCTAAATATATATAAATACCAGCGGACTTTTCAGATGGTTGAGCTGGGGCCAGCCCACAATTTGAAAAAATCTGACTTCAAAGCTTGTGCCATATTCTCAGGTTAAAATTCAACACATACTCAGTTGAAATATGGCCTAGTATCTGGGGAAAACAAGATGAAAATAGTTATTGTAATCATGAAGGAAAATTACCAAGGTGTTACCAAAGACGGCAGGATTCATGACTGACTCCAGGTTAAATATGAAATCATTCCAAGGGCTGTTTCCTAACATAACTCATGTTTTCCTCCTCCAGGGTTCCCACATTGGCTCCTTCAGTCTTCCTGTTCCCCTTGGTCTTGCTTTTGTTTGTTTTTGGAGGGGTGGGTGGGGCATTATTTAGGTTTATTTATTATCTTTTTGGGATTGAACTGGGGATTGAACCCAGGAACTTGTGCATGTTAAGCACATGCTCTACCACTGAGCTATACCCTCCCCGACTCTGATCCCCTTGGAAGAGCCACACTTTACAAGCCTGTGGGGTTATGCTTGAG